ATTTCCACCATCTAGACCCGATGAACTATCCTGACATTAAAACGTATAAATACTGAGTGAGCATGAAACTAAAATAACAATAGCGTATTTTCACCAACTCAAACTATTGTACAATTCGTGACGCTGTAATAAGTCCCAAATTTATTTGTTGTACGTGTCCACCCCAGCAGGCTGCTCCCATGCGTCTGCCTGATGTCGAGGGCTGCTCTTCCGTACTTCATGTTTGTGTTCCCATGGTGCGTTTTCCCCCTCAGTGCCATGTCGTGATGAAAAGCAGCGAAACATTTGCCCGCATGAAGGTGAACTTTACAAATTGGGCATCCTTTCGATGTTTCTGATAATCTGGCACTCGCCGTTTTTCTCCCGTCCTTGCTGCACTGCTTACACGATTTTTGATGCCCAAATAGTCTGCATATTTCGTGCGAATCCATGTTTTCACTACGAATAAATGACTTATTACTTGAAAGAGAGCCAACTTCTCTTATAGATTTTTGAATTCTACTCGAGTGTCCACCAATCAGTTGTTTACCTGTTACTTTAGTCGTGCGATTCAATGCCTTGAAACATTCATAAGCATTGACCAATGCAACATCTATGAGGTAACAGGCCATGTAGATCCACCAACAATTGTTTGTGTGATAGTATTTTCGCCTTTGGTTAGAATGATCCATGCTACCCATGTGATGTAACATTGTAACGATATAGGCACTTGTCTCTCGTCATCTACTGCTTCTGCCGACGGAGCCAGTGGGGGATAGACTGTATTTAAAATCAATATTTGCGCGCTGTCATCCTGGTATGCAGTAATATTGATAGTGCCGTCCGGTCTAGTTGCTGCTTTCTTTTCACCAATTTTCAATTTCAGCTTCTTGCTTTTCCCCTCAGGAATTAATTGCGGCGGCATGGTTTTCCAATTTCGTCTGCTAAAACTACCGACCATGTACACTTTCTTGTCTTGTAATTCAAGGGCTGTATTAACTGACATAAAAAGCGAATCACAGAAAAGAATATGTTTTGGTTCAAAGTTTGCAATGCAAGACGTTGTCTAGTCTCACACCTGCCATATTTTGAAGCCATCACGGTCGGGTTTGTGGGGCAGTCTCTGCTTAAACTTGGACCGACCCTTGAATCTAATCATACCCTTATCAATCGAAATTTCCTGTCCCATCTGGTAGTATCACTGACAATTTTTGAGTACGGGTTTCAGCCACGGGTTGATTTTATACAACGGGTCGGCCTCTGATCGGTGGCGACAACGTTCAATGTCAGGATCCCGCCGTGGATCAGCTAAATGAAAATAACGCATTAGCATTTGAAATCTGGCCCGATTCATTACTGACGCAATTTCCATATTCTGCAGAAAGGGGTCACTCGACCAATAATAGTCGATTGCTGATTTGTGATCAACACCCATACATATCATCACACCAAAGAATGCTTGTATTTCACTGAAATTTGTATTACGCCAGCGGGCATTTAATTTTTTTGCAATGTATTTTTGATGATATTTGGCGTATTTATTAGTCTCGATGGAAGCCAGTTCTATCAGTTCTGATGGGATAAATTTGTAGAAATATTCCACCTCACGAGAATATGAAGGCAGTTCGAAAGATGGTCCAGGTTTGTGTTCAAAAACTGGAATAGTAAATATATCGCAGTCTTCCTCCTTGGCCATTCTCCATTCACCAGTGCCGGAGGCAACATAATCGAATGTAGCACCAATTTCTGTGTCGGATTCAATATCAATGTCGCTATCGAGTACAGGTTTGTAACGTTGCTCTAAAAAATCGTCATTCTCAGCACGATCTTCATTGATTTCTGAATCTGTATCGTCGCCATTTGCAACTATGAAGTCATCTGGTATTTTGTGTCGTAGTTCACCCGCTTTTTCGTCCAATACAGTTCATCATCACGCGTGTCCATTGGCGATGCGTGTGCATACACAACACGTTTTTTAACAGTTTGTTTTTCGGGGAAACTCGCAAGTGTTGATTGTTCTGTATCGCATACATTTTCTTGTACCATTTCTTTGGTGACATCGACGTTTTTTTGGCATCTGCTTTGTCGGCAGCTGGCGATTCAACCACTTTACGATTAGTCTTCGATTTACGTTTGCCTCCTGGTTTGCCCCCTAGTTTGCCCCCCCAATCCTTCAAACGGCTTTCTTCTGTAATCGCATGTTCATTGACAGAGGAGACAGTCTCCGAGTTGCATTTGTTCTTATTCTTTTTACTCCTTTTCTTGAGTGGACTATTATCACTGGTGTCCATGGTACATTCGGCTGGTAACTCACTGACGTCAAATGTTTCCTTTGCTTTGGATTTCTTTCTTTTCCCACGCTTTGCTGGTGAAAAATCTGTCTATTAATGTCAAACTTATCACTCCCCGTGCCACTGCACGATTGACACGTTTTCTTCAGTTTCCTTCTTGCCTTCATAAAACACTTCTAATCTGTATAGGACGGCATATTAACGTACGTGTCGGAAAGTAGAGTCTGGGCTTTATCTCACTTTCTTCGGCCATATTTATGCTGAACGACCAGATGTCCACAAGACTGCATCACCCCACAATTTGAATATTTATTGTTATGTAAATAAATATGTTATTTTTTCGAACACGAATTGGTTACAATTTGCATACACAATAAAATTGCATATGCTAGCTCAGACGGTGAAATCACGTGGACTTGAATATTTCCCACCAGCTGTCCCAGTCATTTTACGTTGGTGATTGCCAACATTCCAAGCTCAGCCGTTGGAATCCGTCATGCTATTCATTCTAAGTGCCGGAACTATTTGCCAAGCTGGTCAAAATACGTTACTACTGTTATAATCGTGTCGTTCAAATACGGTTGTAATGCTGCAGTTTGCAATGTGGTCAAGGCATTTTTTTTACGTCGTCGCAAAAGACGCGTTGTGACAGTAAAATAGTGAAATGATCAGACAAGTGTACAGAATTACATTCTTTATTACTTGGTTAATTTATTTGACCTGACGGAATTGAAAACAAATTCTCTCCCTCCATAATTTCGCAAGTGTAAAATATCAGGTTCCGTACAACGTATAAACGCTTGACCGTCTGAGCAACCTAAATAGCAGGCCGTTTTTCAACGACTTAACCAGTTAGCTAGCTGGAGTGGTAAATTCTAGCATACCCATATTGACGACGGTTTTTCACCGACTTGACCGGAAAAGGAATAAAGATATCATTACAAAATGAAAAAATCTGGGAGAGGTCTACCCAAGGTACATATACACCAAGTACCAAAGCATTCAAGCTTGTAGTTTTCAAGAAGAAGTCGAAAAAGTAAAACATTGATACGGACGACGACGGACAATCACTCCTATGATAAGCTCCGCTCGACAAAGTCGACAGCAGAGCTAAAAAGATGGCTGGTGGCCGACATTCTGCATGTATCCTAAACAAATAGAATAGTAACAATCTGCAACTTTTTGACCTGGTCAAAAATTTTGAGTGTTTG